AACTGACAACTCCTCTGACTGTCGGACTTCTTAATGCGCATGCGCAGGCCTGGTATTCACTGCATGTATGCTATTCTGACAGTGTATGGTAGGTAATCTGAGAACAACGGTGTGCTGTTAGATCAGCATACGTTGTCAGATAGTCATACGCTTAGCTCAGACATGTATACGCTGTCATTGCCATATGATTTTATTTAATCAGCAACATAGAATCATGACGTAGATCATCATACACTTTGTTATTAATAGCTGTATGGCATCCTAACTTAGCGGTTAAGTAAGTAGGTTAATGAGTTTTACATGGGCGTGTGTTGTGGTTGACTGCAGCTGCAGCTAGACTCTGCTTTAAATACACTTTGAAACCACGACAACGCATGTATATCTATCTAGTTATCATATTATATCATATTATGAACAATTTAATGACTTATTTTCGTCATAACTTCTTGCCTCTACTGAACTGACAACTCCACTGATGGTGGGACTTCTAAATGCGCATGCGCGGGCATGCTACTCACTGCATGTATGCTATCCTGACAGCGTATGGCTATCTAATGACAGTATGCTGTACGTTTAGTGATATTTTCACAGTTGCGGTTTTGACTGGTCTTGAAATAAAATGCTGAGTCCTCAGCGTCTGAGACCGAGACCGTCAAAAATGGTCTTGAGACCAAGACCGATCTCGAGTACTACAACACTGACATTTCCCTAAAGGACCAAACAAGACAAACATAGCTATTTAATACAAATGTAGAACAGTAGAGCTGCGTTGGTGCCCCATGAACCACCACGGAAAGTCCAAACTCACCAGACCACGTACCAAACATTTACTGGAAGAGATATTTCAAGAGGTGTTGTGGCTCTTCGTCTGCAGGAAAAACACTCGCATTGTCGGAAAACCTCTGTGTGAGTTTTGTGTTGCAGCAGGAGTCACAGGGGCTGCTGGTGGCTAGGTCTGCTGCTGTTTGTTTACAGTATTAGTAGGCCTGGCCAGTACTGACATGCAGCATTCCCAGCACAGCTGAGTGATTGGTCAACTTCATCTTGTGCTGGCTGAAGAGGCTAATGTTCTTTGCCAAGTAATCCACAGCAGCTGGGAACAGAGAGGTGACAAAATAGAAAATTAAAAGACAAATTATTTTCATATTTTGTGTGTTAAACTGGGACAATTTCAAGTATTCTTTGTACACTTTAAGCATATGGCTGTTTGTTTTATTGACATGCTTGATGAGTAAAAATTAAGTGTACCGTTTTGTGAAAGAGTTACGTTTAAATTGTATTTTGAATGTATTCTGAATTCATAGACCTTAGACTTTTGAAATCCTAGTATTGAGATGACTGTATGCTCTGTTACTTTTTAGCTACTATTCTTTATTACTTTGTGCATTATATGCTTCACTACACACTACAGTACTGCAGTAAATATATTAAATACCATTACACTGAAGGTTGAAGGGCCTACTCAACATATTCTCCAGGTGAAAAAAAATACTTTTGTATTAAATATAGTCACATAGTCAAGAGTACATTGGCAATATACTAACACAGAGTTGTACTAACTGTCAATAATAAAAGTTTACAGACAATATGCTTATAAAAATTAGCATATTGTCTGTATAGGTACCTCTACTTTAGAGGAAATATGAAAAATATTTCACCAAATATGAATTAAAAATATTGGTTTAATTCAATGTCACAGGATTTCAGCATTATTCCAGACAAACTGACATTTCTCCTTCCAGTGAGGAACAATGAAAGAACATTCCCATTCAACTGCACTTTACAGAAACCTACAAAAAAGAACAGTAGAGCAACTAAACAGAGAAAGCATTTGTATTGTGAGAGTAAAGAAAAAAAGTATCATTTACAATTTAAGGACGTTGTGGAATTGCTATTTATGTGGCATCAAAATAACTGATGATAATTGGGACTGGATGCCTGGGGTGAAAAAAACATTTCAGGGTGTCTTTTTTGCCTGTATGTGTATATGGGAGAAGTAGAAAAACAGTCAGCAATATAAAATCTGTTGATGCTGACATGAACTATAAAGTGTAGGTTACCAATTTAGAGACTTAAGAGGGACAAACTACCTTAAAAGCTTTCCATTCATCCATTAGCTAACACATACAGTACATCCTTGCAGGGTGGTGAGGAGGACTGGTGTCCATCTCCAGCAGTCAACAGGTGAGAGGCGGGATTCACCCTGGACAGGTCACCAGTCCATCAGAGGGTGAAAGTTAGCAATGAATAAAATGTACGAAAGAGAAATGGTAGATTAACAAGGGGAATACATTCTCTTCCAATTATTTTCAAATCTAGATGTTTATTAAGCACTTAGTGTTGGGAACACACCAGTTTTAAATGCAGCCATAATCCTGAGTAGCTAACTGCTAAAGAAAAACAAACATGTCTTCCATCAGGAAGACGATGTGGAGGTTCGTCCTCAGAGCTGGTTGGTGATCTGGTGGAGCCAGAGCCTCTTCCGAGACAGGAAAGTCTTTAGGTTTTCTAATTCCTGATCCCTCTGGCTTCCTCTTTCATCTTCATTTGCTTAGACTGCAAAAGTATGTTGAAGATAAAAACAACGATGAACGAGTTAGAACAACAACCACACAATATCAAAGTCTAATTGATATACTGAGCTTAATTAAATCCAGGTTAAATTTATGTAGAAAACTAACTTAAGTCGCAACAAACAGCCTCCATGCAGTTGTAACATTAAATTGATTGTTATGACAATAATCATAATGAAAGCTGTGAAATACCTGAAACAAACTTAATTTTGTTTCTATATATACTGCACTGTTTATAATTACAGATGACAATAGTTTATTTGAGAAATATTTATTTTAGATGAATAAACTATGCAATAAGAACACTTTAGGCTGTTTGATTTTTTATAAATTTCAATAGACTATTGTCATGGATATTGCCATGTTCATTACACTGCAATGGATTCTGGGTAAATGACGTATGTCATGCCCGATTGTGCATGCTCCATCGAGCCAAAACAGCAAAGAGTAACATTAAGTCTTTTCAGTTTGAACCGGAGCAAGTTGGCATTGATGGCAATGTAGAAATCACAAGTGCTAATGAAGATGAGGAGGACCAAATGAAGGAAGAAGAAAGAGTGCTTGTGCTGCTGCCAGCTTCAGCTTCATAAATGAAATAATGATTGACGCGTACCTCTGGTCGTATTGTGTGATCCGGTAAGTACTTCTGTCCGGGTCTGGTCTTCGGTCTGGTGTCAGTTCTGTGGTTTCACATTCAGTACCAGTGGCAATAACATTGTTATGATTTAAGAGCTTTCACTTCTGCCTGCCTCTGAAGTAAGTGTCTCCCAGTGTCTTTTGCTCGCTAGCCAGTGGTGAGGTTTAGGCGCTTTGTGGATGCAAACTGTCGGCGAAACATTTGTTCTTAGCTTACAAGGGTAGCAACCATCAGTTAGATCATCCTTCATCAATTTTGCTTGTAAAAATAACTCAGTCTTCTGGAGAGAAATGTTGAGAGCACAAATGTAGGTGTTTTGGAAGTTCTTTCCCACTGCACTCTTCTTTTGGTTTTTTCATGTTGGAAGCAGTGCAGACTCATAACTATTTTTTTTTTTAAATTACAGCCAACAGCGATGCAGCATTGCACTGTATAAATTTACACCAGTCAAATGCAACTTGATAAAAAAACAACTTAGGAAATTAGTCTTCCTGTGTTTACTAAACTCTTCTGTTCCTGTTCCTTCCTTTGATCCAACTGTGTCATAAACCCAGCATGCATTGTGCAGTCAGAAAAGTGGCAACCCCCATGGTGAGAAATATAACGAAAGATATAAAAATTTTTAAAAGTAAGTACGTGTTTTTATTTATCAAAAACATAATTTCTTTAGTTAATAGGATAATTACAACACATTTAGACCAACATGTTAAACTAATCATGGATCCATTTAAGCAAACTTACCACCAACACTTTAACAGCCTTCATTCCTTTGGGTTCTTTTTGTGACCTACATTTTATTTCCATCCAGTTGTTGTCCTGTTTTATTGGCTAAATATATTACGCATATAAATATATGGATCCCTAAGTGTGTGTGTGTGTGTGTATATATATATATATATATACACATACATTTTTGTTATTTCTCTGTTATCTTGATAAAATTGTTATCTAAGATCTCTATTATGAGTATTCAAACAGTGAACTGAATACAAGCTAGCATTTCTGCCATCAGTTTTAGCACTTTACTCTGACATGTGACCTTTGCTATAAAGAAGTACAGTAGAGATCAGAGTCCACAGGAGTAAAATAACTGACATGTACGTAAGTGTAAACACATTATATCTCAGAGGCAGGGACTATCTATTTGCCTCCTCACAGAGGATTTAAGGGATAAACCTGGCTGGCAGGAAAAACATTCTCTTAAAGGGTTCCTGTCACTAAGCCCTTCCTCAAATCGCCTCCCCCCTTACCTCCCACCCCCACCTTCGTTGTCCCAATCCCTCTTCCCACACACACAAATATTGCTCCCCACCAGCTCTTTAGGTAAATGGCATCTTGGCAGATAGTCCTGCCCATGAATATATGTTATTTATTTTTAACTTCTTAGGAAAGGTGTGACATTTTCTTTCTGTTCACATGAGGATCTGAACTGTCAGATGCTGCCTATCTCCTCCCAGACGCCCAAACATACACAGATCCTGTAATATCACCACTGTCACTCGTTCTGTCTGAGAAGGCATCACCAGCTGAACTAGGGAGGAGCAACGTCAATAACTTAGTAAATATTTGTTGAGAATTAATACCAGCTACCAGAAAAAATGGTTTTCTGTGTGAGCTTAACTGCTTACTGCTTCTGTCAAACCTTCCCGTCTTGTTTCCGTACAGTTTAAAGCAGTGTTACATTGGATATCGTGCAAAAGTAGTGTGCTAATATAATAATTGTTTTAAAGATACTTTATACCAAACCATAGAAACAATACTGGAGAAATTGTGTACTTCTCCACTAGCTGGGGGCTGTTACTGATCCAGAAGTTTAAATGTCTTAGCATCATGTTTACAGGTGATGTCCCATTTGCCTGTCTGCAGCTGGTTTTCTTGTTGGTACCAAACCCACTGTCATGTAAACACAGCAGCGCTGTGAGAACAATGTTCTTTGATTTCTCCAGGGCATTTAACACAAGTCAGCATCTTTATCAGAAACCCCAGAAGATAAAAGTGGAAGCTCCAAAAATCACCTGGATCAATGAGAACCTGACAAACATCACCACAATGTGAGAGTGAAAGGTCAACTGTTTAAACAGGTGGTCAGCAGCACAGGTGCACCACAGGGCACTGCACGCTTGCAATTCATTTTCACTGTAAAATTCAGATTTCCTGTACAGTCCATAAACAAGCTGAATCAACAAGCTGAATACAGAACTGAGACAGAGATAATGCTGCCATTAGCTAATCGTTTTTCCTCTTCTGTTATTAATGTTTTACTTTTGTGAACATCATAAACCTACATGCTTGTTGTTTCTTGTTCTGAGCCCAGTTCTGGTTCTGATGGGAGTTTTTCCTCTCCACTGTCGCTACATACATGCTCCATATTAGGGATTGCTGTAAGCGATCCATAAGCGACATAAGTAAGCAACTGTGGCTGTGTTTGTCTGGGAGGCGTGAATGCTGCAAGTCAATAACTCAATTCAGTCCATGGGTTTCCTCAGATAGGAACTTTTAAACCTGCTTTGAATAATTCATTGAAGTACTGTACTAACGTTTTGATAACTGGGATCAACTGGAATGTATTTATTATTGAATTGAAAGGATTGCTTTTTCATCAAGTACCTTGAAATGACATCTACAAAGTGGAGTTATATAAATAAACTGAATCAAATTGAATTTTCAAGAACTGAGGTTACGTGTGAGAACTGAGTTTGTCATTTTTAAAATCCATTTATTACCAGCCCTTGAACAAACACAGATAATTTCCTTAAATCGGTTGTATGTAACTTTAACAAAAATATGTTTTTCCATATTTGTTAAAAGTGTTGTCATGTTATGACAGTATAATATGAGACAGTTAATCTGTGAATTGTTCGAGTTTCTTCACCTCCTCCCTGAGCTACTATTGCAGTCTACAAAAATGCACTTCTCCCAGTCAAAAATTACCAATCGGAGCCAGAAGGAAGGTTTTACCACTGTATACACTGACCAATAGGGTGATGGTAGAGGAACAACTTTCCAGAAAAAACGTTTATCTGCCCTCCTTAGTGACCATGCTAACTAGCCTGAGCATTCATGGCTGACTCCAATGAGGTGAACCAGCTGTAAAATAGCAGAGAGGAAGAGGGAGGATCTGAGCAGCACATACACAAAGTGTTTGGCAGCAGCACATTTCTACAGATGACAGCAGGACCATAGAACAAGACAGAGAACTCGAATCTTTCCACAGATCATTGTTCTCATATTACACTGTACAGCAACAGCTTAAACAAACACATAAAAAACAAATTTTTAAAATAAAAGTTTCATACTGCAGCTTTAAAAGCTTTAACAGGTGTAATAAAATAACACTCACTCTGACCATACTGACTGTACTGGTAGCTGGCGGCTGTCACAACTGGGTCCATGCTGTAGCTGGTGGTGCCGTATGTGGTTGGGGAGTAAGATTCGGATGAATGAAAGCTGTCCGCCATCTTAACAGAGACCTCAGCTGACTGTTGACTGCCACTGGCTGCCATGATATTGGATAAAGAAGAGTCCAAATACCTTGGGCGAGGTGACAATGAGAAGTCATGGTGTGGCTTTGAGGAAACACGACATGAATTACTCATGATGCTCATAACCTGCAAAGAGAAAAAAGAGGTACTTCAAGATCGTCATCAAGCTTTTTATATCATGGTGTAGGAATTACCTACTGTATTATTACCAAACAATATTACCACACACAGCAAAATTCGCAAGTTAAGTGGTGCCTTCAGGTTCATTTTATTTTTGGAATTGGTAAAAGAAATTGCTGATTGGATCAAGTCAATAACTTGCAGCATTTAGACAAGCATGTAGCATGGATTACATTAAATCATTGACTTTGCAATTAGCCCTTGCATTTTATGACAGCAGAAAGGAAAATGTCCCTTTAACAGGAAGAAACCTTCAGTGGGTTCATTGGGATCGCTTGTCTGCCTCCATCAGCTGGGTTTCGAGAAGACAGAGAAGATATGCAGGAATAAAAACCAGAAGCACTGATTCAGTAGCGCATTCTATGTCAAAGGAAAAAATGTTAATAGCAATAGCAGCTCCTTTTGTGACTTCATCTAGGAGAAAAACACAATTCTGATCCAGTTTTAAAGCTCATATGACAAGAGACCAAAGAGCCCATATAGTTAGTTGCTACAAAAGTTTAGTCACTAGTGGTGTCCATGAAAGAGACAGGGTTAATGCTGACACATGGCACCAAGTATCATGTAAAGAATGCAAACATGAAGTTATTAGCATTCAAGTTAACGCTGTTATAAAAAATACACTGTATTGCTAAAAGTATTCGCTCATATGCTCAAGTATTGACTCGCATTTGAAGTATTGATACACAACATTTTGCATGCCTAGATGCTTAATTTTATGCACCCGTGGCCATAGAAGTGATTGAAACATCTGATTGTGATCATTTGAATGGGTGAGCAAATACTTTTGGCGACATAGTGTAGCATATGGCCTGGTAGCTTTTACCAAACACAAATACACAGAACAAGATAAGACAGCCCCTTTCCTATTAACCTATTGACCTAAATGTTGCTGTTCTTTGTTATATTTTTCACCTACAGAGGCTGCCATTGTTTTCAACTGCACAATGTATGCCAGGCCGCAGGCTAAGTGGAGACAGGCTCAGCCTGACATCACTCTTGTTAGTGATGTCATGAGAGGAGAACACAGTCAAAACATAAATCTAATAGTAATAAGGAATAAACTAAGCATATCGAAACCACAACAGACCAGTGGTCTCATTTAAAAAGGAAGGAAAATGTAGAAAATGTAGATTTGTAAAACCATGCGTACACACCAGCACACAGTTTTCCTTAATAGATCACAACTGTACCTCAAACTGACTTGAAATAAAGTTTACACTCCACCACCAGTATTTCAGGAGGCATTCTCCACAGATGAGATGGGTGCTAGTATTATTAGATCGCACCTCCTCTGTACTCTGGGGGTAGCAACATAGAGACATGTAGCAACCAATGCCCCTCACCAGATTGAGGCAATTCCTCTGAATAAAATGTAGTTTCCTGTAAGTTGTTAAAAACATATGTACACATACTTAATGAGACCGAGCTAATCAGTAATAACCCAAAAGGTCTTACCTGTTGTGAAAGTCCACTGTTAACGGGATTACTCTGAGCTGCAGAGCTCACAAAGGAATCAGAATAACTGGAGAACCCGTTGCAGTTGGAGGAAAGAACATAGGCAGGACTGCTGTCCGCACTGGACAGACCCATTTGGTGCACCGTGGATGGAGGCAGAGGTTGTGGACGATGAACTGCATCATCATTCTCTGAAAACGATCATGCAACAATGTGTGTATAAGCAACTCAAGTTATTCGTAAGGCAAAAACATCTATGTAGCCATTTCCCAGTTTTAAATAAGGAAAGATTTGAGCGTTTTATCTGGCTTTCTACTTCCACTATGTAAATATAGAAACACTAGATATATTGCTGGGTTATACTTTGAAAGAGTTACTCTTTAAATATGGAGTGTGAAGCTGGTAGCAGCGAGCTGAACTGTGCTTGCTTTAAACTCCAAATCCAATACCCACTCTCTCCTGGACATGGCTATTGGCTGCCTGAGCTTTAAAACTGAGAACTGTTAGCTGTGTCCCTCTCTTCTTCACCCACCCACCTCTGCCCCTCTGATGTTGGTCTTCCACCACTGGAGTCTCTACCCCTCCCACCGCCCCCTGCTCCGACAGCAGACAGATAAATATTTCCCGTATCCTCAAGTCCAAAACTTGACAGGTATGGAGCTTTTTAATGCCGATATTATCTCTACATTTTTAAACATAGAAGGTCCTCCAGGATTGGTGGTTCTTTGCTTTCTTTGTGAATACTGTATCTTCTCACACCCCATGTCATTCTCATGCCAGGTTCAGCTTTAAGATTCTTCCTGTTAAAAGGGAGTTGAAAGGTTACAGCAAAGTCAATGTAATTGACTGTCCACAGTCTCTGCACTATTGCTACATGCTCATCCAGGAGCAGTGAATGCTGCTGGTCAGTGACTCAATGCAATCTCCTGGGCTTCCTTAGACAGAAAACTCTTTAGCCAATTAGAATAAGGCAGAGATTTTGACTGCGTTGTTTTAAAACTTAAATGAATTCGCTATGTCACACAAACACAATATATTCAGTTGCCAAATCAGAGAAAAGTATGTGGAAATGAAGAGTCGACAAAAATCAGCTGAAGATGAGCCTTGCAAATAGAAACTCTGCTCAATGAGACAAACTACATATCTTTGTTGAACAACAACTTCATGAAAAATCAGTTCTACTTATAGATGCTCAGTTAAAATTGAATTTACTTTGTTTATTTTGGCTGAACCTGTCAATAATCCATCCATATGGTCCCAAAAGTTTCACTGTGAGTGTTAGATTAAGACAACCTAATATGTTTTAATATTTAATGGTTTAATAACACAACAAAGATTGTAAACGACTTTCCAGTTTTGCACAGATTTCTTCCAGCACCAGGACTTCCCAGACAAACCAAAAGTCTGGGAACCGAGTTCATCCTTTCAATTTGCTGACCCCTTTAAATTATTCAGAATATTGACAGATTGAAATCAGAGCAAAACGATGAAAAACCCTAAATGTCCCCACATATCCTAAGGCAAACAGAAAAAAAGAATATCACAGTGTAGAAAAGAACCGGCGTCTACAGAAAGAACGAGTGATGACATTTGATGTGTGCTTTACCATGGGACAGAGAAGAATAGCCTGATTCTGAGAGCTGATATGTTGAAAATGTCGACACTCCTGTTGAAGAAAATCCACTGGGCAAGAGATTGTTGAATGGTGCTAGTTGACTGGCTCCTGCTTGCTTGCGCCACCTGGCTCTGCGGTTGCTAAACCACACCTTCAAAACAAGAACATTTGAAAGAATGAATGTGTGTTGAATATCTGGTGAACTATGCTTTGGGTTATGACGGTTCCAATCCCACACCAGCTTGAGTGTTCTCACTTAAGATATTTAGCTCTAATATACCTTTGAAAGGCTGTTCATGCACACATTTTAAATATATTTGTTACATGACTTTTAATCTAAAACTAAGACTTTACGTGTTTAATAATCTAAAACAACTTACACTTTAAACCATATAAAATACATATAACCATTGTTTTACTGTGTGTGAGACGGATTACTGATCAGAAATAGATCTCTCACAGTTTTCATGGTTTTTAGAGACAATCAACTTATCCGCCAGCACAACTTTATCACCTCAGGGTTATTTGGTGGTTTCACACTCTCAAAAATGTACCTTTGTTTGATCGAAAGCAGCTCTGATTATATATTTTCTATTTCAATGGAGCTGAATGAGAATTTGCATGTGTGAAATGAATCTGTTTTCAGGTGAATATAGGGGAACAAGCTTCATTTGCTTTTATGTGGTTCTGCCCGTCTTGACTCATCCCACACAACACGGCCCCATCTGAAGCCCTGGATGTGTCTGTGTTTTACCTGAACCCTGGCCTCAGTCAGTCGGGTCCGCTGGGCCAGTTCCTCTCTGGTATAAATGTCAGGATAGTGTGTTCTTTCAAAAGCCTTTTCTAACTCCTCAAGCTGCTCTGCGGTGAAGGTGGTCCGACTTCTGCGCTTCTTCCTTCTAAGCGGGAGATCAGGTTCCGATTCCACATCTGACACATCTTCCATTTGGCTTCCTGAAACCAGCGAAAAGACAATTGGACTTATTTAATATTCCTGTTTAAATCTGTGAGATTTATATTTAGGTTTACAGCGCATCTCCCTTATTTTGTTTAAAATGTGAACTTCAACTTAATACCTGAAACCCTAAATAATGCTATAACCTGAACTATGATTTGTTCCAGGACAGCTGACCAAATCTCAGGAGTGTTACTTTATAAATCCAGAGACAATTTGGTCCAGAAAATATCCAAAGTTATTTAAGTTAACATTATCCGTCCATCCATAATCATACACTCTTGTCTCCAGTGGGGTCAGGAGGGTCAGTGGTAAGAGGCGGGGTACATCCGGGAGAGGTATACTGCTCAAAAAATAAAGGGAACATTTCACTTTAATTTTGTGTGTGGCTCCAAATCCAGGCCTCCATTGGTTAATAAATTTGATTTCCATTGATGATTTTTGTGTTTTTGTGTGATTTTGTTGTCAGCACATTCAACTTTGTACAGAACAAAGTATTCAATGAGAATATTTCATTCATTCAGATCTAGGATGTGTTATTTGAGTGTTCCCTTTATTTTTTTGAGCAGTGTATATTTATACAGCAGTAGGCGTCAGGTTACATTGTGTTGCATTCAATGTTATCGGATAAAAAGAAATTCACGCGCTTAATGTCCGATTTCCCATAACTATTGAATTCATAGTCGCCAGCTGGGGTGGCAAAGCTCTCATTTGGGGTGGCCACCTCAGTAGATCCGCCCCTGCTCAAGAGACAGTGGAGATTGTTCAGCATCCTGTCATACAAATGTGCCTAAATTAGATAAAATAAGCTCATTTTTATCGATAGTCCCTCTGGTAGTTAAAACAAGCCTCACTTCTAAAAATACACAGAGTCTGTAGTAACTTTTACTTGCATTTAAACCAATACTTCTTTTATTAATTAACTTAAACCGTCTCGTGTTTCCAAACTAAATGCAACACTTCTGAAAAGATGTGGTCAAATGATTTTTGGGATCTTTTGCTGTTACTGGTACATAAACCTGCGTGCTCCAACAACGGGCCGTGGATTCTTTGTTGCTCGTATCTGAATAGAAGCGACAAAACTCAACAGTTTTCTCAGTGCCCTGGTGTAGATATTTAAAGGAAGGAGATTACAAATGCTGGCCAGCCGACGCATCTGAGAAGAGAAGCATTTCTCTCCCCGTTTTGCTGTTGTCTAGTCGAATCATGTCAAGTTGCGGGAGTCTGTGCAGAGCCATTCATGCTTCTGTCTTAAAGGAACAATAGGGCCCCTTTGCAAACTGTCAGCCTTCTTTCATGAAGTGTGCAGCACGTACTGTTTCAGCAAACAATTCAGAGTGGTTCATCAGCTCTTTCAGTGCAGACACAAAGGAATGACCAGCTACATTTTTTTTTCTTATCTCTTTTTTTCCCTTGCAGCAGCTGCTTGTGTGTTTGCAGAACCATATGTGAAAAAAAGATATTCCAACTTTCATGTTCACATGCTTGTTTTCTATATTTACCTGACATCAGATTGGTTGAAAATGCAGAGCGGTTCGTTTTAATTATCGATTTTGGTAATAAGCTCCACAATCATTTTATTGAGATTATCATTAAGCAATATGCCTTCCAAACATCTTTTCATGGTAACAAGGAATGACACTGGTAAGCATGCTGTATTTGTAGACTGAATAAGGGCTGCGATGTGGTGGAGAGGGAGTGAGGGAGCAAAGTGGTACCGAGCCGTGCCGCTGCAGCCGATGGAGAAATTCAACTGCACAAGAACTGGTCGACCAGCAGAGAGTCGGTTTTAGGCAAATTAATGCAGAACTAAGAGAATTCCACAAAAATGTCAAAATTTGTAGAAAAACAAAAAGATAGAATCCTAAATAACCTATTTAGACAGTTTATCAGCAAAAAAAGTCGACTTGAGGGTGAGCTTTGCTATAAATAAATTATAAAATTAAAGGACTGAAAATAAAAGTCAATACTTGTGTTTTATTCACCCAGTTTTTATAAAATCTGTAAAAATGTTCATTTTAATTCAATCATGCTAAAAGTAAATTTCTAAAATACAAAATGTGATGTATTTATGTGTTTAAAAATGAATTTTGTTTTTCAAATGAAATTATAAGTTAAGCATAAATTAGAAGAGCATATGGTATATCATATCCAACACATAATGCATATATACAAAAACATCAGAATGCTGCTTTTCTCCTTTCTTTAGAATTAAAATAGGAATATTCGCTTTATTTCCTGGAACTGCTGAACTGAATATTGCTGCTCTTCTCTCTGCTGAGGTTCAACAGTGACCCAGTTTCAGAATCTAATGCATCCCCGTCTCCTAAACAGCCTAATCTTACAACAACCTACCTTATTTTGGAGTAGGTAGACATAGATAATCTAAAACAAATTGTTAAAGTGCTAATAAAAACAGGAATTAACGTTTTTTTTTTTACTTCATTGTCAGATGGACTCTAATAGTTCACTGGGTGGACAAGCTGTTTGGTAAGAAAACCTTGGGTTAGATTGGGTAGGCATAGCTATGTCCTATGTCCTGTTTCAGTTCAATTCATCCATACATTCACTACTGAACAGGCTTATTCATGTGGGGCTTGCTAATTTATGAAATTATATATGTGATTTTTTATTTTTATTTATTTATTTTGATTGTTTGTTTTGCTTTATATTGGCCAGCAGCAAAAAGTTCACTTGCAAAAAAAAAAAAAAAGAGGCAAGAGGCAGGTTGTCAGTCCATCACAGAATTAACCTTATATAGTCATGCTTTTTTTAACAACCCATGCAGAGAGAACATATAAATTCCATTCAGAAATACTCAAGGCCAAGATTTGATCTCAGGCCTTCTGGCTGAACTGTAGCCCTGTGTCCTGTGTTGCTTCTATTATAACTGTAATCACTTTATGACTTTTCCTAAAATGTGCATGTAAAATCAAGAACAATTTAAATTAGTACTTAAATAATTTTACCTGTTTTGTGTCAGACGTTGTCTGGAATCTGGCTCACATGTAGTGTTAATGTCAGTGGAAAAAAAACACCAAACATGCTTTGACATGATATAATTTGAAAACAGCACTAATAATTTGAAAACAGTTCAAATTATTAGTGCTGAAAAAAAATGAAAAAAAAAAACCTCAATGCTTCACTGCTTTTTTGTCCACCACTTTTTTTTTAGTATATTCATTAAGACGATGATTTTTGGTGCAAGCTAGGGAAGTGGGGGTGGGGGGAAGGAAGGGGAAATTAAACCCACTTTAATAAACTGATACACAGCCCCAGACCAATGCTGGGATGATTGTGTTATCAACCTCCAAACATTTGGGCCCTTATTTCAACCTGTTCAAATGTGAAGATGGTGTGGAGTGTTTGTGCCTGGGGAAAATTACTTTTAACAACTTGCCACTGAACATGGATGCTTGTTTCTTTGCCCTATATGCCATTTGTGCCACATGTACGTACCAATCCTTGCTGTACACATATTTCTACATTCACCCAAGCTGAACTTGAGAACCAAGGCATGTGTTGTCACTCACGTATGCAAAGAATATTCTAACTGCATCTCAACTTCAAAAGACAATTTACATCATTATGAATTATGTCCCAAAAATATTTATCAACATCAAATAAAAGGCTGCTTTCTAGAGGTTAGGCTTCAACATGTTACCAAGGAATTTCAGATCAATCAATACCATTTAGTTTTATCAGTGTAATTACATGTAAACACACACACTTGTATATACATATATGTATAATTATTTGTATTCATGTACATGGGTTGTATCTTATTTCTGAGAATGTGTAATAAAATTCAAACACATTTTTGAGAGCTTTTCTTCAAACTGAGATAAAACATTAACTGATATGAAGGATTCAGTGAAGCATCTCCAATCATTTGGATCTTTTTTTTTTTTGTTCTCTAAGTTAGTTTTGATATCGAAGTGATGCCATATATAACTAATTTATATCTTTCACGTAGCAGATTTTATTCTGGTGCTTAAAAAAATATTTGATTGGTTTGTTTGTAACAAGGGGAAACAGTCAGAACTCTTTAATTTCACCTTAAACTAACTCTTAACATTTTCTACAGAAACATCACATCAGATTTACACATTAAAATCTGAATTCAAAACATGCTGTGCGCCCGAGACGGATGACAGTGAAAAGAAATAAAGGGCTCAGTTTAATCTGCTTTAAAGCCTTTGAACGTAGAACATGTGCATGGGAATGAGAGAGTGAGAGCTGATAGGGGATAAATGTATTGGAGCTATTACACCTTCTCCTGTACAATTGCCTATTCATTACACTCTAGTTTCATTACCAGTTATAATAGGCTCAGTCATCAAATTATTAAAACTTAAGACCCAGATGACAGGAAGACAGGAACCAAACAGGAAAATATTCTCCAGTGTGTGCAAAGGAGGAGCCAGGCTCAGAAATAATAAAGAATATTTTTCACGCAATAAGAGGAAAGTGTGTTTTAATATCAGTCTATTAACATTTTGAATTTAGCTAATTGCAAGCCTACCATTCCAATTGCAGGTCTGCTAGGTTGGATCATCATGCCCTACTTCTTCTTCTTCTTTCTCAGACATTAGGAAAGCTCCTGCTCTGCTCCTAACAGGCCGCTGAGGCCCCCCGCCATGTGTCAGTGATCTAATTCAATCTGACTGCAGCCAGCAGTCACCCATCTGCTTTGCTGTCGGCAGAACATTTAACCATCACCAGGGGACCCAGATCCACTTTAGCGATTCCACAATATAAATAATTAAGCGCCTGCTGGGAAAACACCGAACCCAGTGCGACAAAGCTGCCCGAACCCAATTTGTCGACAGTTTATCA